CTCTCACACACACACACACTAACACACACTCTCTCTCTGTCTGTCTCTCAGGGCTGTCTGTCTCACTTCCTGTCCGTCCACACAGTGGACTGGTTGACATGCTGCAGGATGTGTCAGGGTGTGACCAGAGGTTTGTCCTTCCTGCACACTGAGCTCTACAGAACAGGTTAGTTGTTAAACACAGGAACTATTTTCAGCTGTGGATGAATATTTGTTTGTAGTTGTTGGTCAGTGACTTGTGTCCCCCGTCCGTCTCACTCAGACCAGTACAAACCGGCTGTGGCTCACAGAGACGTCACCAGCAGGAACGTTCTGGTCCGGGACGACCTGTCCTGCGTCCTCGCCGACTTCGGGCTGTCCATGAGGCTGACGGGACACCGGCCCTGTCGCCCTGGAGACGATGACACAGTGGCGATATCTGAGGTCAGGTCATGTGATGATGATGATGATGATGGTGTCTATCACACAGGTAGAGTTACAGGTGTGGTCCGTGTCCTGCAGGTGGGGACGGTGCGGTACATGGCGCCGGAGGTTCTGGGCGGAGCGCTGAACCTCAGGGACTGTGAGTCGGCTCTGAAGCAGGTGGACGTTTATGCCTTGGGACTACTTTACTGGGAGAGCTTCAGAAGGTGCAGCGACCTGTTCTCAGGTAACACAACAAACACACAACATGTCTGCAGTGTCATCAGCTCCTGTTCCATCAGAATTAAAGCAGCCGAGTGACAGAGCGCCACCTTGTGTGTTCAGCTGAAACAGCACCAGAGTACCAGCTGGCGTTTCAGGCGGAGCTCGGGAATCATCCGAGCTTTGAGGAGATGCAGAACCTCGTCGTCCGAGAGAAATACAGGCCGAGGTTCCCCGACGCCTGGAAGGAGAACAGCCTGGTTAGTGTGTCTGTTCACATGTGAGTCATACAAACTGTGTGGTCCTCACTGTGTGTGTGTGCTTGCTCAGGTGTTGCGTTCACTAAAGGAGACGATGGAGGACTGCTGGGATCAAGATGCTGAAGCTCGACTCACCGCTCAGTGTGCAGAGGAGAGACTGACTGAACTCACACAACT